CAATTATTAACATCGCTAAAACGTCTCAAGAAAACCCATCAATCACATGTAAGTTCAAGAATGAAAAGAATTCAAGAACACAACTCAAGAACATCAAATTCTAACTCTTTTAGGACGAAAATTGCTGAATTAAACATGATTGGCACGTGAGTGAATGGACTCAACGCTATGTGATCTCACATACCTTGTAGGGATCACCCCCGACGAAATCCACAAGGTATGTGAGATCACATAGCGTAGGATTTCTGACGACTTTCAAGTAGACCCAATCATCCACTTTGAACTCTAACTCCCTTCTCCTAACATCGGTGTAGGATTTCTGACGACTCTGTGCTATTTTCAATCCCTCTTGAATCACTTTCACCTTCCCATAGCTTGATGAACTAAATCTGGTCCTATTAACCCACCTTCACCAACTTCAAACCATCCAATAGGAGATCTGTATCTTCTCCCATAAAGAGCTTCATAAGGAGCCATTTGGATGCTCGAGTGGTAACTATTGTTGTAAGCAAACTCGATAAGAGGTAGGTGATCATCCCAATTACTTTTGAAATTAATCACACATGCCCTCAACATATCCTCTAAGGTCTGAATAGTGCGCTCTGCTTGCCCATCTGTCTGAGTATGAAATGCAGTACTTAAGTTCACCTTTAAACCAAAGCCTTTTTGGAATGACTTCCAAAACTGTGCAGTAAATTGTGCACCCCTATATGATATAATCGAAACAGGGACTCCATGAAGTCTTACCACCTCCTGAATATATAACCTGGCATAATCCTTTGCTGAATGGGTAGTCTTCACCGGCAAAAAGTGGGCAGATTTGGTCATTCGATCCACAATCACCCAAATAGAATCATGCTGCCTGCGAGACCTTGGTAAATCTGTGATGAAGTCCATATTAATCATCTACCACTTCCATTCCGGAAGTTCTATATTCTGAGCCAAACCATCGGGCCTTTGATGCTCTACTTTAACTTGTTGGCAATTTGGACACTTAGCAACAAATTCTGCAATGCTCTTCTTCATACTATTCCACCAATACACCTCTCTCAAGTCACGATACATCTTTGTGGAACCCGGATGAATGGAATATCTGGAGCTATGAGCTTCCTCCATGATGCTCTCTTGGAATCCATCCACAATTGGTACACACGATACATCTTTGTGGAATTAAATATCATCTCATGTTATTTTCACATTAATGCGTAGAATATCATCTTTTCTAATTTATATTAAATGTTTTTTTTATCTCAAAATCAATTGTGGAGATGAAGTGATTATCTGCTTTCATAGTTACTATAAATCTCTAACTATTTATGTCATGAAGAAATATTTTTTGTTCACCAATTGCTTCCCTTCTAATGGGACTACTTAGGCAATATTCAGGTATCATTTTATTTTATTTGTTTTTGTTTATCAGTATTAATATTATATAAGATTTTAATAATGATATTTTGAATCATATACTTTCATCTTTATCATTTTAGATGACTATATTTTTTCAATTGTTCTGCTATTTTGTATCACAATTTCATCAGTATCATTTAGATGACTTATTTTCAATTGGTTTGCTATTTATAGATTCTTGAATTTATTTGAAACAAAATATTATATTTGTATAATTGTGTTTGTCATTTATCATGTTATCTTATTATATTGCTTTATTCTTTGTTTATTTCTATTCTGATGTTGTTTTTATTTAAAATTTGATTTCTCAATTGATGAATTAAATTTCATCTCATGTTATTTTCACATTAATGCGTAGAATATCATCTTTTCTAATTTATATTATATTATGTTGTGGATTATCACAATATGCATTATTCTACTTCTTATATTAATGTGGATTTTAGGGTTAAGTACAAAAAATTGATGATTATATTGATAGAGTAATGACCCATTTTTCCTATTGATATTTTAATAGCTTTAGTTAATGATAAATGTCATACACAATTTTTCTTGATATTTTTTTTGTTTACAACTTATCCTTACTCTTCTTTTAATATCATTCTTTATTTAGACTTCAGATTCTCAATTGATATGCTAATTGAAATTCTTCTTGATTTTTTTTGAAAATTAACCTACATTCAAACATATTACCTTATCTAATTTAGATCATATTGTGGGATTGATTTGTCAAAATATGTGCTATTGAACTTCTCTATCAATGTGAAATGATAAGACATAAGTTAAAGATTCATCGTCTAATATCTCATTTTTATTATTGATAATTTAGTAGCTTTTTTGTATTCATAAAAATCTCGCTATATATTTGGTAAAATTTGATATAGAAGAGGTGAGGTGAGACATCACTTGGATCATGATTCATAATTTCATATTCATCTATTTTTTAAAATTCTTTTTCTTTTCTTATTTATATTTTTAGATTTTTTTTAATATTTAGCGTAAAAAAATTAAAAATTTATGTTATAAATGATTCCTTATAAGTTTTTATAACACTAAAGTTTATACCCATAATAACTTGCCTTTTTAAGTTTAGTTTTTTTATTTATCTTTTATCCTATTTTAGGTGCTTACGACCTTACAAATTAACCATATAACAAATTAAACTCAAAAAGCATATTTCCAAAAAAAATCGAAGAAGTCTTAACGATTTCTTCTACAACTAGATGTTTAATAAATTAAAATTTATTCTTTCTTGAATCAATATTATATCATTATGATTCTTGATTATGCTTTATTCTTACTACTTTCATTCTTTTACAGAAATATTTTATATATTATAATGATTCATGATATGATAAATTAGGCATGCAGAAGTAATTAAATTAATTAATTAAATATTGTCATTTGATTTGCAAATTGGGAAGCGTAGTTCACGCTACTAATCATTTATAGACGATGAGATTAGGAGAAAGGCAGCTATATATATATATATATATAAAACTTAAAATCATTTGAATCATTTCAATGGTGTGATTTCTAAAAATGTGTCAATGTGGTAATAAAACTTAAAATCATTTTAATTTTAATAATGCTTCCAAGAGTCATTTAGAAGAAATTTGGAAAGAGGAGAATGACTATGTGAATTTTTTCACATTTATAATTGTTTGTCACTATATTGACTTTGTTTTCTATACACATGCTTATGTTGTTGATTAATTGCAGTTTGATGACTTTTTTTTCATGATATATGATAGAAAAACATTGTAAAAATATTTTTATATATAGGATCTTAATATTTTTCTTCTATTTAAGTCAGTTTCTCTAAGGCAGAAGTTCTGTGGCTATTAATCGTGTATTTTTTATTAATTTTTAGTATTTTTTCTTCAACAAGATCATTAACAATTGCATTTGCATGAGAAAATGACATATTATAAGCATTTATTTTATTTATCACTTAAAGTGTATATATTTTTTTACCTGATAACTAAGTGATTTTTATACTTATTACTATATCATAACTCTAGAAAATAACGCAGTTAGATGGATAAAAGCATATTAACGTTCAATTATTACTACTTCAATATAAAAGAAAAGGAACGTGATATTTAAATTGTGTCAATCAAGGAATTGTTTCCTTTTTCGATGAAGCTAATACCTCGAGAAGAAATTTAAAATATAGTTAAAGTGAGTTAGAATTTAATATTTAATTTATTTGAATTTGAAGATCGAAATTAAAATACTATTTTAAAAAATCATGAATCTAATATCTTTTCACACCGCGCGAAGCGCGGCCATGTTTACTAGGTGTTTATTAATTCAACAATAAGTAGGCCTTCCTAGCTAATTTATAGCATTGTTGCTAAAAAATAAATTAAGCTTCTTAGGTACGTATAGCTAGGCATAGTTTGGGCAAAATTGAAATTCAATATTTTTTAAATTTTGGTTTGAATTTTGTATGAGGGCAAAGAATCAAACAATAATAACCACAACATGAAAGATGGACCAATATTCGAGCAAAGATTATGATACTTAACTTCCTCATTTTGTTAAGATAAAATATATTATTTTGATAACTAATAATATTATTGGTCATTCGTAAAGAACAATTACAAATTCGTAGCTAAGCTTATCGCAGTAAATTTTAATGGTTCTTGTAATATTATAAAAAAATATATCATGAATTTCAATTGTTTAAAATATCTTGATGAAATGTGTAATTCATCGGTTCTCCAAAATATTATATGTTGAACAAAATGGAATATATGTGTACTGACATTAATGGACCTTTTTTTTGCAATTTATTGTGTTTTAATTAGCTTTTGTCACAATTATTTCTAGTAATTTAATAGTCAATTTTCTCATAATATCTTATTCATCTATAGATAATTTTCTCTTTTTTAATATATCGTTATAAAAAAATGGAGTACTTTTAAATGATACAACACACTATTGACATTTATAAATGAACCATTCAATTAATTATTTTTTTTTAAAAAAGATAAGTCTTCAACTCAATCATACATACTTTTTTTATTTTTTATTAAAGTCTAGATAGCGTGCTCACCACTGCACCATGGTATCTAATTGTATGAAAAAGTTGATCATGACTGTATGAAAAAGTTGATCATGACATACCAAATATTTGATGCATGTGCAAAGAAAATAAGATATTTACGCTTTAAAGGAAGTAGAGAACTAGTATAGAAAAAAGTACTATCCTAAATTATTATTTTTTCCGTCTTAATTTATGTGACATCATTTAATTAGGTATGAGAATTCTTAAGAAAAGAAAAAAAAGGAATTTTTTGAAATTTTATGGTTTAAAACAACTTTAGATATTTGTATGAATATAAAACATCTCATAAATTTAAATTATTTTTAATATAAAAAATAATATTCTCTTTTGAGACAAATTAAAAAAAAAAGAAAAGAATGTCATATAATTGACAGAGAAATTACTACGTATTACTATATTATAGAAGACTCTAGGAAATGACGACCAAGGGCAAATTAGTAATTGTGTTATTATGCAAGGGTAAAATTGTAATTACGCATAATTGATATTTTAACACAGCAAGTTCCTATTCCTTTCCCTTCCAGATCCTTCTACATCTCTCTCCTATACTTCCACATTTTCATTAACAATTGCTATTGGCTTAGGAGAGAGATCTAAGAGCCAAAAAAGAACAATGGGCAAAATACTAATTGTCTTGTTAGTCTAGAAGAATTAGTAACAGCGACACAGCTTGCATAAGCAACTCTTCTCTTCATCTTCTTCAAATCAGTCAGTCGCCAATAGCCAGGTATGGTTTCCTTTTAATATTTGGTTGAAGTTTTATCTGTTTCCTTCCATTTTTTCAATTTTCGATTCATCTTTGTTTGATTGCTTTTAATTTATTCCCATTTTTGATCCCACTCGACTTTATCGACAAAAAATTTCAGACCTCAAGTTTGTCAAAAGAGTACCTCGTCAATCAATGGAGACTTCAACAGTTATCACCGTTGTTAGCTGCATATTGACAAATTTAATCTTAAATTATTATCACCAAGTTAGATTTAGTTGTCAGTAACCTAATAAATTTCAATTTGAAACCCAACTAAAAGGTGTCGTGATGGATTGGCCGTTGTTTTTGGATATTTTCTATTATATATATATTATTATTACTATTATTATATTTTTTATATTGGAAGAGTCTAACAACAAAATAGAGTTCAAATGTAGAATTACACTTAACTGAGGCTAGGGAAGGTTTAGAAACTTAGGGCACCCTTGACTGGCTCTTTTCACTTTATCACACCATATGATCGAATAATTTTCTTAGCTGCTTCAGTTTCCTCTATGCCAAAAATCCAAATTATGTATTAGCATTATTGACGTATAAGCTTATGTAGATGTTATATTCGCACTATAGCCAAGTGCCTGATGGTATCTGAGACGATTAAGCTTCTCAAACTTCCCTGAATTAGTTTTGCTTCAATAATTTCTTTTAGTTTTGCTTCCATATGCTCGGATCTTCCTTTCTTATTTCATAAATATTAATGTTGGTGGTTGACACACAGTATTAGTTACTTTTTCTCTAGACTTAACATAGAAACATGAAAATGGTGTTAGGTAGGGCTTTGCCCTTGTGGTTAATACTTAATCAGAAAGCAGTGCTTGTTCTTATCTGAATTTAGAGGGTTTCACAGCATTAACAGCCATTACGACTTCAACAACGATTTCTCCTTTATGAGTTCCTCATTTTCTTCTTCCAATTTGGGATTGCCTCTTTCCCATCAGTCTTTTTGCTCGAGCTTGCTGAAGATTTTGTTCAAGCTTTCTATTTCACCCGATCTATCTGATCTATCTATACTTTCTGAGTTCTCTTTTTTCACTTCTACTCCATATTATTTCTCCGCTGGATTTCATTGGTAGTAACTTGGACTTTTCTTTCCATGATATTTGATGCAATTTTTGTTTCTTCTGGGTTTACAAATATTTTGAATGTGTAGTTTTGATGTTAGCAAAAGGAAATCATACAAAACATTTCTGAAGGAAAGGATTCTTGTGAGCTTAAACACATTATACACATGCACTGATCTTTTTGCTTCAACGGTTACTTTACTTGTAATTTTTGATCTATACTGTTGGTCGTGAATTCTAAATGAACTCCTACACATCAGCTCTTACATTTAGCGTATGCACAAGTCTTTGGTGATCAACCTCTAGGCTCTATGTCGTCTTGCTCTCTAATTAGCATAAATGGGAAGTGGTTTAATAGATTAGCATGTGAATGATTAATATAATATAAACATTATGCTGCCCGAAAATTCTCCATTTCGAAAACAGAGGAGGTAAGGATTTATCAAATTCAAATTCTAAAAAATCTTAGTATTTCTTATACATATTATAGGTACTTCAAAATTCAGGCTTTTCCAAAGGCTACCAAAAGTTATAACAAAAATGAACCTAAGATAGAGGACGAACACTCTCATCAAATTTGAATATTTCCACTACTTAGTGAAACAAACAGATAGAGCAAAAGAGTTCTAACAAAGTGGTAGATTTTCTCAACACAAGCATTGCTTTCTACGTAACCTTAGAGGCAAAACAAAGCATTATCACTTCAAAACCACGCTGCATGAAATTGGATTTGCCAAGCAAAATTATTATTGGTAGTAGACATTTTGTTCCTGCTAACACTGGTAAAGTTTTCCTCTTAGGTAACAATTTCTTTGCTAACGTATTACTATATAAGATTAGAGATGAAGTTAAGGGATCATTGCCTTTGTCAATTGCTAATTAGAGTATAGCCACAAGAACCAAAGACTCAAGCAATTGTTGCAACACAAACTTGATCTCTGCTGTGAAACATCCATAGTTAAATGACAGTATCTTATCATTTGTTCTCTCTGTTTGACAACAAACAAAAGAACTTTAGCAGCTCCAGCATTATTTTTTCAAAAGGTTATTAAGGTAAACAAGACACGGTAGGAAAAACTGATGAATCTATCTCCCTATTATACCTAAAGGTCAGCTTCTCAAGGTTGGCCAGTTTTAGGTCATTCAAAGGTAATTAAATCTTGTCCAAATCTGCACAGCTAACAGAGCCCATGAGTGTGCACACTATTTTTTGATTTTGAGCTTTTCAATATATGTGTCGGGTCAAGTTAAGGCATTTACGTTGAAACAAACAGCTAAGAATCATTTTCCAATTAAAATGTGCAGATATAATGTTTAACACGACTGAATGAAAATTGTTAATCTGCTATTCTGTCGTGATATTACTTTCACCAGTTTCTTTACATTCTCTGATTATCTAATACAATATTTTTCTTATTTTACAATCCCAATTTGTTGGCCTAATTACATATGTTTCCTGTTATAGGTGTGTCGATGGATAAAAAAGTCATCCCTCCAGCGTCATCCTCACAAGAAAAGGCATGCCAATATTCAACGGATAGAGCCAGCATTATTAATAATAGGCGATGCAGTATATATAAACAACTCTCATCGGATAAAAAAGAAGCACTTCTTCTGCAACGACGGAGAAGATATAGACAATTGACCAACAAAAATCTCCTCGGTCGTGCCCCTACTCCACTACCTAATGTTCAACTTCATTTCACTGCAGAAAAAGGTGTTACTATTACAGATATACCGCCTCACCCTGAAACAGGTTTGCTGAATATACTGCATAACTGCATGATACTTCATCTCTAACTAAGTGTAGTTGTCATTTACTGATGGTTATTACACCGTTTTCGTGCTCTAGGCGACACCTCTCACATTGATACTTTCGCAGTTGTATCGGGTAAGGCAAAAGATATGATTGGTTGCCTATCCATCTTTGAAGTAGGTACGTCACAGTAAAATGCTGTTGATATTCACCTTTCTGGAGAAAAAATTTTCAACGCACTCATTACAACTGTTTCTACAATAGGCTCGACGTTGGCTGCACCCGTTAAACAACACAGCCCAATAGCAATCACTGTGACTACCAAAGGTTTGTCTATTCCCTTTTCCTATTTACACAAAAGTCAGGACTTAAGAGAAATCTTATTCTATTTTCATTCAAATCGTCTTGACTTTAGGTTCTGCATCACTTGCCCATCAACAATATGATCCAAAGGCAATCACTGACAAAAACAACGGTTCGTCTTTCTAAAAACTTATAGTTATCTTGCTTGCTTAGATGTTCCTCCACTTTAGCTCTCCTTCTAGCTTATACCCCACTCCTTTGCAATTAATTTACACAGGTAATAGGTTAAGAAGTATATACTGTTGCAATATTAAACAACTCCCCAACAATCCAAGCATTTTAAAGAAAATGCCTTCTTGTGAATACTGTGCGGCAAAAAGATTTCAATATGAATCAGCAGGATTTTGCTGCAGTAATGGCACCGTTAAATTAGCATCACATGAAATGCCTACAGATTTACTAAATCTCTTGTTAGGAGACACTGCTGAATGCAAACATTTTCGTACCTACATTAGAATGTACAATAACATGTTTGCATTTACTTCTCTTGGAGTAAAATATGACAAAGAGCTAGCAAAAAGATACCATGGTATATACACCTTTAGAGTTCAAGGACAAATGTATCATTTCATTAATGATTTTATTACCTTCAAATCAACAACCAAGAAATCTACAATTATATATTTATGATGATGATACTGAAATGTTGAATTGTATGGCTTCTTCCAGTAATGCTGATCAATCACTTGTTAAAAAATTAATGAATCTATTAAAAATAAATCCTTACTGTATCTTCCTAAAATCTCTAATGCAAGTTCCGAAAGTACCAAACTTGTATATTGCACTCAACTGTGACTCTACATTAAATCAACAAGTTTATAACCTACCGACAGTCTCAGAAGTGGCGGCAATATGGTTAAACCAACAACCAAACAATAGTAGCTCTACACCACATATTCAAATTTATCCTTGTAGCAACACAAATCAATTAGTCAATTATTACTATGGTTGCTATGATCTCTTACAGTATCCATTGTTATTTCCCTATGGTCAAAATGGTTGGCATTGCGGAATTAAAAGAGTTGAACAGACTTGCAAGAAAAAAAAACGATCTCAATGTGAAAATGAACAACTTCCAACTTTATCAAATATGTGTTCTATTGAGGGACTGCTTGATATAGAAGCTAAAGTACTACAAAAAGGAAAACGAAAAGAGACGACATTTCTTGTCGTGAATACTATTGTTATAAATTTCAAATGAGAGATAACGAAATAAATGGAGTATTACATTCAGGAAGACTTTTCCAACAATACTCAGTTGACGAGTTCATAAAAATTGAAACTCAAAGGCTAGATTTTGTCTCGTGTAATCAGGATTTATTCCGGACTGATCCATTACAAGGGCTTATTGATTTTCATAGACATGGTGACAGAGATGCTTCAAAAGTAGGAAAATAAACATTTCTTCCTGTAAGCTTTACAGGAGGTCCTAGAGATATGCGTCAACGTTATATGGATGCTATAACATTAGTTCAACATTTCGAAAAACCTGATATATTTTTGACTATGACTTGTAATCCTTCTTGGCCAGAAATAGAAGAATATTTACTATCAACAGATGAAGCTCAAAATAGACCTGACTTGATTTGCCGAGTATTCAAAGCAAAAGTTGAGGAGCTAAAAACAGATATATTAAAAAAAAACATATTTGGAAAAGTTGTTGCATTTATGTACACTATTGAGTTTCAAAAACGAGGCGTTCCACATGCTCATTTCCTTCTAATTCTTAATGATGATTTCAAATTAATTACTCCTGAATCATATGATCAAGTTGTTTCTGCTGAGCTTCCTGATATAAATGAAAATCCTTACTTACATAAACTTGTTAAAAAACACATCATGCATGGCCCTTGTGGTTATTTAAATCCTACAAATTCATGTATGAAGAAAAAAGGATTTTTGCAAATTCAAGTACCCAAAGAATTTTTGCTGACAAAACAACAAAAGGAAAAAACTCATATGCAATCTATAGAAGAAGAAATACAGGCAAACATGTGGAGATTAGAAAACAACTTCTTGACAATTCATGGGTAGTACCTTAAAACCCCTACCTACTATGCAAATTTAATTGTCATATCAATGTCGAAGTGTGTTCTGATAGAAAGGTTGTCAAGTATATCTATAAATATATCTGTAAAGGACACGATAAAATCTCCTTTTCTATAGGGGAGGATGATACAAATGTTGAAATAGATGAAATAAAAGAATATCAATCTGCTAGATTTTCTTTTCTATACGGGAGGATGATACAAATGTTGAAATAAATGAAATAAAAGAATATCAATCTGCTAGATGGGTATCTGCACCAGAAGCTGTATGGCGTTTATTTGCTTTCCCCATTAGTGAAATGAGTCCATCTGTTTATCATCTTCAACTACACCTCGAAAACCAACAGTTTGTTTCTTTTAAAACAGCTGATAACATAGACAAAATCATGAATAACCCCATGATTAAGAAAACAATGTTGATAGAATTTTTCCTAATGAATAGAACAAGCGAATATGCTAAACAACTCAATTTATTATATAAAGAATTTCCACAATATTTTGTGTGGCAAAATTTTTCCTAATGAATAAAACAAACGAATATGCTAAACAACTCAATTTATTATATAAAGAATTTCCACAATATTTTGTGTGGTCAAAATCATACAAAATGTGGACACGAAGACAACGAGGTCATGTTATTGGCCGTCTTGTGACATGTCATCCAACAGAAGGAGAGAGATATTATCTTAGACTTCTACTAATGAATGTAAGATCTCCTGAGTCATACCAAGATCTTCGAAAAATAGATGGAAAATACTACGACACATTTAGAGAATCTGTAGAAAAAAGAGGATTGTTACATCATAATAACAACTTGGTTGAATGTATGACAGAGGCTGTATGTTATCAAATGCCTTATAGCTTGCGACATCTATTTGCTACAATATTAGTATATTGCAATCCTCATAATCCAAAAGAACTATGGGAACAATTTGAACAGTCAATGTCTGAAGACTTCAATAAATTACCAAACATGGATCCAAAAAAAACAAGACATTCAGTTTTGAACCATATTAATGATGTATTACATACCATGGGACATGATGTAAATGAGTATAGATTGATTTATGAAAATGTTGCGAGTTCAAGAGTACAGTCAGAGGCAAAAGATGTTAATTTTGAAAGGAATATAGTTGTTACTGAAGAAGATCTGCTATTATATAAAAAATTGAATACCGAACAAAAGATAGCATATGATACTATCCTTCAAAGAGTACTTACTAACGAATCAGGTGCTTTTTTCATTGATGGTCCGGGAGGAAGTGGTAAAACATTTTTGTACCGTGCTTTATTGGCCACTGTAAGATCTAAAGGTTTCATAGCTTTGGCGACAACAACTTCTGGTGTTGCGGCATCTATACTTCCTGGAGGACGAACAGCCCATTCACGTTTCAAAATTCCAATTAATATTGACGAGCAGTTCTCCTGTAACATCAGTAAGCAAAGCTCTCTCGCATCTTTAATTCGTGATGCAAAATTAATTGTATGGGATGAGGTATCAATGTCAAAAAAAAAATATGATTGAAGCTTTTGATTTGCTTATGAAAGACCTAACTGAAACAAATATACTCTTTGGTGGAAAAGTGATAGTGTTTGGAGGTGATTTTAGGCAAACGCTTCCTGTTGTTCGAAGTGGAAAAAAGGAAGACTTTATTTCTGAAAGTATTTTAAATTCCAGAATTTGGAATCAACTTGAAAAATTGAGACTATCAGAAAATATGCGTGCAAGGACTGATCCTTTTTTTGTGAATATCTGATGAAAATTGGGAATGGAAAAGAAAAAACAAATATGAACAATAAAATAGAAATCCCAAAGCATTTCATCATTCCTTTCACTACTGAAAAAGAGTCATTAGATCTTTTGTTCAAAGTGATATATCCGAATTTACATACATCTTTCAATGACTCTTCTTTTATGACATCTCGTGTTATCTTGACTACAAAGAACGACTTTGTTGATGAACTAAACGATAGACTCATAACTCAATTTCCAACAGTTGCTAAAATATTCATTGCTACTGATGAGACTATTGAACCCAACGATCAACCTCAATTTGAGGACTTCTTACACACTCTAAATTTTCCTGGATTACCTCCATACAGATTAATGCTAAAGCAAAACTGCCCCGTTATATTATTGCGAAATTTAAATCCTTCTGAAGGCTTATGTAACGGTACACGATTGGTGTGTTGTGATTTCAAAACACATGTTATAAGTTGTAAAATTGCAAGTGGTGACTTCAAAGATAAGCACGTATTTATTCCAAGAATACCATTACTATCATCAGAGGATGAAAAAATACCTGTACCTTTTAAAAGAACAGGGTTTCCTATACGTCTATGCTTTGCAATGACTATAAATAAAGCACAAGGACAGACATTAGATTATGTTGGTATCTATTTACGTGAACCAGTTTTTTCCCATGGTCAATTATATGTTGCTTTATCAAGAGCGAAAAGTTCAAACTGTATAAAAATATTGATTCGACCTCCTACTGCAGATAATGATGATGATCAATCAACTTATAATGTAGTATATAATGAGATCATTCAAAAAGCTTTGTTATGAACATATTCCACCTATCTCGCTAACTGACTAAGATTTGCCAACATTTATGCAACTACCACACATAATAGATACAGAATGTTGACTTATGATGCAGGCTTATTATGTTAGTCACTCAACAACTTTTTCATATGCCCTCTTTCAGAAATTATCATTGTCTGATTATATAACTACTTTTCGCTTTCTTTTTCCTCATTACTCAATCCCGCTTCTTCTTACAGTGCTTGCAAACTACCATACAACTCAAACAAAGTGACAATCCAACTACTCACTCATGCAAAACAAATGATGATCCATCAACACTACACTATTGCTAGCCACATGAAAGGAACCATTGTCCCAATATAAAACCACAACTTCCCCTGCTCCCTCAAAAAGGTTTGCATTATTACTAATTTAATACTAACAGTCACTTAAACTCATGTTTTCCAACTTTTCCTAATACCATTACTTATATTACATTTGAAGTTATAGATTCTTATTTCTGTTCTCAATTTAATTGCCTGTTGTAACACCCAGTAACCATTAAAAAACTTCTCTTAATTTTGAATTACCCTATTTCTGTTTAAAACAAATTGGCTTATTCTTCCAGTTGAATATTAACAACACAACATCTACAGTAATAACAAGGTACTCAATAATTTCACTTTTCGTTTGTCATGCTTCAATAGGCTTGATATCTCTGTCATCCACATGCCCAGAAGGTGCTCCACACCATTCAAACGGCGGGAGTAAAGTTAGTTGTACTGTCAAATTTTGACACCCAATTAAAACCACTGTTAAAAACTCTTGAGTTGTAATTACTGGTCAACTAAGGTAATGTATTTGTTCTCTTTCCTTTTCCTTCCATTTCATACTTTCTGATTCCATAGTTGATATTCTATTTGCCTTTTCAGAAGTTAAATAGCACATCACATACTTTTTGGCAAACCAACTATATGGACTTAAATAGCAGCTAATGGAAGATTCAGATTAGGATAAACAATTAATCAGGTACCAGTAATCATAATACTACTACATACTTTCTTGTTATTTCATTCTCTTATACTTTCATTATCATCTTATTTTGTTGTAGTTATTGTTACATTTTACGAACATTCAACTTCTCTCTTGCTTTTCCTTTCTTCTATATATGTTATCATAGTAGTAGTAGTGATCTGTTTTAAAAAATTTTGCAGCATTATATTCCCGCTAATGTAGCTATAGATGAAACAATTATCAATTTGGAATTGTCAAAAACTGTTTCGTGTCGAGTTATAGCTCTTTCGGATGCTATTTACTACTGACAAAAAATTAGGTATTTATTGTCTAATGGAATTTAGTTTTCTGCAGCTCATGATCTTCCAGCAAGTATTGATTTTCTAGGTCTTGGAATTATGGGCAACCCAATGCCACAAAATCTCATAAAAGCAGGGTATGTTCCAATTATTACTTTCATACATTAAGTTGATGGATTTCAATGACCTTTTGCTTTGTGAACTTCATAAATCACTACACAGCGCGTAGTTAACTTTATACTCATCATTGTTATCGTTCTTTGTTAACTAGCTGAATTATGAGTACCCTAAACTGTTCATCTTTCAGAAGTACACATTACTAATACCAAGGCTGTGCCGTCTGACATGTCATCTTGTTGGAGCAATGAGACATGATTTTTATACTTAAACACCTCTTTTTTCTGAATAATTGAATTTCAATGTCTTATAGTTTTATTCTGTTTGTTCTCATGCTGCAGATGTGATGTGACAGTTTGGAATAGGACCAAGAGTAAATGTCAACCCCTTATCTCCTTGGGTGTATATGCCAATTTTGATTATGGTGCAGACTTAAGTTTGTTTATGTTGGCCTCCAAGAAATGTGTGTTTAAACTTAGCTTACCCAACAGTGAAGTAGACAATGGTAATCTATGCTAATCCTTCACAATTGAAAAAAGAAAGATCTATGCCTATGCTTGTATCACCTTCTATGAGATGACTTAAAAAATTTCTTGACTGTTGTTACTGCTTCTACTTGAGGATAATTTCCATTTCATGGTAACTTGTGTTTCTTTGGATAATTTGCATTTGAAGGTAACTTCAGTTTCTTTTCTGCACATACAAATCATCCCCTGAGGAGATTGCAGCATCTTCTGATGTCACATTTCCCATGCTTGCAGACCCCGACAGTGCAATCAGTTTTCAGTTTATTTAAGTGGGAAACTGTAACAGCAAATGGCCATGAATTTGATACTGTACTTGGTGAGAAAAATAGTTTTCCTTTTCAATTGGTGTTTTTCTGTTTCACATATTGTCTTCATTAT